CGAAACTGAAAAGCAGAGAATTTCGACTCTGTGCAAAACGACCGGTCGCTTTCACCTAACGACCGGTCGCTCATCACGTCCAAATTTGAGTTTCGACTCTGCCAAAAACGACCGGTCATCACTGTTCATGCGACCGGTCGTCACTGTTCATTTTTCACTGTTCACGATACTATTCACAGCACTGTTCACAGGTGATAAATAGGTGATAAAAGGGCGATAGAAAATGCTGTTTGTGTTTTTCTTTAGTTTTCTTGTGTTGTTTCATTTCTTTTACACTTCCTTACTTATTTTTAGTTTCCATTTTGCATTTGTGCATTTGTGGTGTGTCAATTAAGTGTTCTTTACGTACTCAAATTAGAACTTATAGGAAGCCGACAAGTTCTTCGTGGGATCGACCCCGTACTTACATAATCTATACTTCATTAGATTCGTGCACTTGCGGGTATTTTTAATTGGTTGTTTGCACATTAATTTGTGTCCTTTTAGGAATGCAACAAAAGACGACGGTATTTTTAAAACCGTCATAATATATCATCTTATACACTACTAGCGTTATATTATTTTTAAAAGACGACGCTTGTCACTAACAAGCGTCGTCTTTTAAAACATGCTGAACAAAAAAAAAGGTTACTTGATTTTTAAAAGACGACGGTTTTTTGAAAGAACCGTCGTCTATTATATGTAAAGACGACAGTTTTTTTGAAAGAATTGTCGTCTATTATATGTAAAGACGACGGTTTTTTTTTTAAAAATGGTCGTCTATTATATGTAAAGACGATGGTTTTTTTAAAAGAACTGTCGTCTATTATATGTAAAGACGACGGTTTTTTTTTAAAAAGGGTTGTCTTTTAAGACACGCTAAAAAAAGGCCGCTTAAGTGAATTCGCACTCAACAAATTTTCAAATTTTCCCCCGTCTTTGAAAACCTTATCTCTCATTAACAAGCGTCGTCTTTTAAAACACGCTAAAAAAAGGTTGTTTAAGTGAATTCGCGCTCGACAAATTTTCAGATTTTCCCCCGTCTCTGAAAACCTTATCTCTCCCTCCTTGAAACCCTCCTGAGCTCTCTAAAACACCCTCATGAAACTCTTTACAAAATCATCAAAAAATCGATATCAATGAAGGAGTTGAGAGATTGAGGTCTTCGCAAATCCATAAGATGGAGAGGGAGGTTCTGTATTTGAGAATCAAAGCTGGTTGAAAGGTTTGATTTGAAAGTCACCTAATTTCTCAATACCCTTCTATATCTTGCTAGTGAATTATAGATTAGTTACTTTACGTTTCTGGTATGTTCTTTGTCTCCCTGATTTCAGATTTTCTATCTCTCTTGATTTGTCTGGTTTGTTTACATATTTTTTTTTTTTTTGGTTTCTTTTTAGATTTTCTGATATGGTTCTCAAGAGATGAGGAGGAATCTTGTAGATTTATAACTTTTTCTTTTGCAGGTTTTCTATGTGAGTCGTATATTTTTTTACTGTTGAAAATTTGTTACCTTCTCTTTTCACCATCATTTGATTTATATATTTTTCCTTTTGCAGGTTCTCGATGGTCTTTTTTATGCTCATTTTACAAGTTTTCTATGGAAATATGGTCCAATGGTAAAATTTCTCTTCCACCTAATTTTATATGTTTATAATCTTAGCTTTTTTTCTCTCTCTGTCATTTTGATTTATTTACAAGGATGATGGAGGAGACTTCAGTTGTGCATCATTTGTATGTTTGGATGAGGAAGGCTTGGGTTAGGAGTACGTAGGTCTTGTTAGGAAAGGATTGTACTACTTAATTACCATATGTAATAACTATTGAATCTTCAAGTTTTATGAAAGAAACTATTTTTGAGTGTATATATTCATTAATAAAGCATTATGGTTGGTTTTCTAGTTAAAATTGTTGTATAGCATCATATGAAATAAAAAAGAACTAAAATGTAGCAGTTTGGGAACTGATTAGACGACAGTTTTCATAATAAATCATGGTCTTTACAGATAATTAACGACGGTTTTTATAAACCAACCGTTGGCTTTATAGATAATTAACGACGGTTTTTATAAAACAATTGTCGTCTTAACCTACAATCCATGACAGTTTTCATAAAAAACCGTCATCTTAACCTACAATCCACGACGGTTTTATTAAAAATCGTCGTCTTTCCTCCTATAATTAACGATCTTTACCTCTAAACAATGACGATTTTCTTTAAAAACCGTTGTCTTTACAGATAAACAACGACGATGAAAAGCCGTCGTAGTTTGACACCCAAAAAGATGGCGGTCGATTTAACGACGGTTTTCAAAGCATTACAACAACGGTGGATCCCCGTCGTCTATTTCGTTTTTTGTAGTAGTGATATTTTTTCATGTATGATATAAATGCATGAAGGGACCTAAGGTTTTGCTAAATCGCTTCTCTTTGTCTATCTCTTGCAATTTTTCTTTCTTAGAATGTATTTGTCTATTCCTTTGTTGAGGACAATTATGATTGCAACCAATAAGCAATATAATTCTTGACATATGTGATATATATACACTATTTTTCGTACGTATTGTGAGTTCGAATTTTTTATTCTTTATAATTTGTAAGAGGTTCCCACACACATGAAATTCTGGCTTCGTCACTGCGAAATAGGGTACCTAGCAGTAAAAGGCACATATTTTCTTCTGTTCTATGCATATTTATATGATTAGTATGATTACAGGCCTAAATAGGCCCGATTCAGCATTGCATTTTGCTGCAGGAACTCCAAAACTTAGTGCTCGAGGCAACGAATAGTTTGCTTTTTTCTTGCCTATTAAATATTACTTTTTCACTGGCTTCAATTTAACTTCCACCGTCCAAATCCCTTTTCAACACCTTTAATTCCTTAGCACCATAATAAAGTGAAATATTTCCCCCCAACTTGAGAGATCTCACAATCACTTTATCCCACCAGCATGGCTAAGCTCAGGGGTATAATCGTCTTCGATCATTAATTAATTAATATAAATAGCCCTCGTCACCAAGCTTTTGTTTCCAAAAGACAATCGTACCCACTGTTTGTCCACTAGTCATGTACGGCGAGGATGGTTCCATAAAAATAATAATGAACTTGTGTTTCTAATTTTTTTTCACTTTCTTCTTTGCTTTCAGTCACTTTCGCCCCACCCCACGACCAAAAAGCAGAAGCCTTTTGTTTTCTATATAAACCCACCAAGGCCTCTTGAATTCCTTCATGCAAATTGAGCTTCAATCTCATACAAAACCACTAGTCATAATATATCTTGAGTATCATCTCATATATCTTTCTTAATCGAGCAAGAAAATCATGAAGAACAAGGCTTCTGCTTTCTTGAAACAGATAATGAGCGTGTTGAGCTCCATAGCCAAAGCCAAGTCCTTGGCCATCAAGAGCAAAACCAGCGCGGTGAAAGCCCGCCTCATAATGTTCTCTTTGGTGAAGAACAAGAAGGTTTTGATGGACACGGTGTCTCACAAGATCCACAGCCTCCTCGGCCACGACCACCGCGACAAACAAAGCGACGAAGAGGACGACGAGGGATCAGACCGAAGCAAGGCCCTCGTTCTCTACAACACCATCACCAACAAGTACTCGCGTTCGGTTGGTGCTTGTTCGAGCTACAATGCCATGGCCGAGGAGGACGAGGACGAAGACAATAAGTACCCGGATCTGAGGCACTCGATGTTCGACGAGGACGAGAACTTTGACGACGTGAAGGATGGCGGGTCGGTGATTGATATCGTGAGGAATTCCAAGGAGGAAGGGGAGGATTTCAAGCTGGAAGATGAGATTGATCAGGTTGCGGATTTGTTCATTAACAGGTTTCATAAACAGATACGCTTGCAAAAGCTTCTCTCCTTCAAGAGATATCAAGAAATGCTAGAGAGAAGCCACTAATTAACTTTTAAGTGGATTTGTTTACATTAATTAATTACATTAGGGAAGGGATCGATGGATCCAATCAAACCCCCTATATAAATAGGTATGTATGTGGTGTGTTTTGTTGCCTCATGCATCCATTATTGGCCCGGCTTTTTCAGAGAATATTGAGCATGGCTGAAAAGAACTTTAGGGCTTTTGTAATTTTTACATGCATAAATGGCTGTAAAGCTATTTGTAATGTATACTTTTGAAATGGAATAAAATGTTGGAGTGACCTTCCAAGTTCCAATCATCTGCTAGCCAGATCTGTGTCTTGTTTTCTAAAGCCTTTATAGCCTTCTGCATGTCAAGTTGGTGCTTAGTAGTTCGATTTGTTAACACAACTTTTTTTTTTTAACTTCCTCAATCACAAGTCGATTCTTGCACTAATGGCCAAGGTTGGTGGGTTGCACCATATATATGTATAATAAACATTGTTACATATTAATTAATTATATTTATACTATATACGGGTCAGGCTAGTTGATCACGGGAGCATTTTTGCTCACCACTTTATCCCAAGGTGTATGCTCAACATCTTGACATGTGTCTATAAACATAACCATGACTACATAAATCAAAATAAAAAGTTAATTCTAGTCATGTCTACGGACAAGTGTCAGGTATTCAGAAAAGTGGTAAGCATACACTTTGCATTAAAATGGTGAACAAAGATATTTCCGTTGAACAGTGACCCGCCCTCCTCTTAAATTAGGTTCAATTAGTTTAATTTAGAAAGGGTTGCTTTATTATTTACAAGAGGAGTTCTAAAGGCCTACGCTATAGCACATGGCTTGCACAATTTGATGAGATTGGACGGTTTACAGATGTCCCAAAAGAAATTGAAAGTGTGTTGGAAAGCCTCATAAGAATTTTCCTTTTATCTTTGGAGGTGGAGCAGAAACGGTAATAAATTTTTTTATTAAAAAAAAAAGTGGCTCAATAATAAGCGAGACGACAAGTCGTCCTCGTCTAATCATCCGTGGGTTTATATTTGGTGGGTCTCGAATTTCTCGACGACGAGAGATGAAACTGAGTCCAATAGAGGCTACAATTCGTGGGCTTTAATTGGGTTCCACAGTCCACTAGCATCATCACAAACTCAGCCTGCGAAGAGGTTGAGAGATCAGGCGACGTGGCAGACAGCCCGCGTGAGCCAAAATGGAGGGAAAGTTTCCCGCCAAAAAGTAGAAGCCTGAAGTAGAGTAGCCCTAAAATCGGTTTTTCGGCCGCAGAGAGAATGAGAAACTGACAAGTTCAGAGAAGTTGAGAGGACGAAAGGAATTTAATTTCAAGAAATGGCCGGAAATGCCGAGAACCCGCCGTCAACGCCCGACTCGCCGACGTCAGTGGGGTTCAACACGGATCAGCTGCCGCACACGAGCCGCACATCCGAGAACTTCTCATCATCGTCCGACGACGACGAGGCCGCCGTCGACCCGGAAATCGTCCGGGATGAGCCTGAAGAAGACGTCCTCCTTGAAGAGGAGGAGGGAGAGGATCTCTTCCACGACAATTTCCTGGAGTCAGTACTTCAAAATCTATCAATTTTTGTTTAGTAATGATAATATTAATTATAATAATAATGATGCTTTTGAAATCGGTTTTTTAAAGTAAAATTTCGTGATTTAGTGTTCACGAAATGGTTATTGTGAATGTGAAATTAGTGATTATCGGAGAATGGATGAGCACGACCAGTACGAGTCGTTGGGGCTTGATGACTCGGTTGAGGACGAGAGGGATTTGGATCAGATCATGGCCGACCGCAGAGCCGCCGAAATCGAGCTCGATACCCGCGACGGCGTACAAACAACTCGCAAGCTCCCTCATCTTCTCCATGACCAAGGTAAGCTCTCATCCAAACTTTATTTCCGTCAAAATTCAGCGGGCGTGGTTATTGGCAAGAACTTATTGAATCCATAGTTTGGGCTCATAATAAATTAAAAGTTGCTCCTGCTACTCAGCCTAGAGCCTTGAGTATTAATGTCTCCGTACAATTGGGAACCAAAGATAGCTGTATTAGATTGTATGATGATGATGTTGATGATGTTGTTGTTGATGATGTTAGTTTAATGTTGATTTTGTTGGCATTTTGGTTGCAGATACTGATGATGACAGCTACAGGCCTTCAAAGAGGGCGAGGGCTGATTTCAGGCCTCCAAGAAGCTACGACGATAATGATGGAATGCAGAGTTCACCGGGAAGATCACAGCGCGGAAACTCCAGAGAGGATGTCCCAATGACTGACCAGACTGATGATGATGGCTATGAGGTTTAGTTATACAAATCATGCTTCTGACTTGGATGACCTTTTACATGAATTTCTTGAGTAAATTTCTTCAAGCTTTTCTCATTTTACATGAATTTCATGTGCAGGATGATGATGACCAAGAAGCCGAGTTTGAGATGTATCGTGTTCAGGGAACACTCAGGGAGTGGGTTACTAGAGATGAAGTGCGAAGATTTATAGCCAAGAAGTTCAAAGAATTTCTGCTCACCTTTGTGAAGAAGGGTTCTTCTGACATTGAATATGTGCGCCTCATTAATGAGATGGTATTAGGTAAGGGCTTAGCTTTATTTAACCGGCTCATATGCTCTGTTAACTGTACATTGGCCATTTGTACTTTTTATCTCAATGAGTTGTGCAAGCTGCAAGCTACATAATGCCTCGGATCTTTAATTTGAATTTTGAATAAATTCACTGTTGCATTTTGTAGCCAATAAGTGTAGTCTGGAGATTGATTACAAGCAATTCATCGGTACTCATCCCAATATTGCCATTTGGTTGGCTGATGCTCCTCAGCCTGTCCTGGAAGTCATGGAAGATGTTGCCAAGAATGTGGTGTTTAGTTTACACCCCAATTACAAACGTATCCATCAAAAGATCTACGTTAGGATAACCAACTTACCTGTTTACGATCAGATTCGCAACATTCGGTATTGTGGAGATTTTTTGTTTTTGTTTTTTTGCTACATCTTTGCTACCTTTTTCCTTTGAGGTGTAAATGTCATCTGCTCTTATGGTGTGCAGGCAGATCCATTTGAATACCATGATTCGTATTGGAGGCATTGTGACCCGACGCTTTAGGGTCTTTCCCCAATTGCAACAAGTACGATTGCAATAAATGTGGGGCAATCTTGGGGCCATTCTTTCAGAACTCTTATTCAGAAGTTAAAGTTGGTTCTTGCCCTGAATGCCAATCAAAAGGACCGTTCAGTGTCAATATTGAGCAGGTGAGTTTTACAAATTTACATACATTTGCCTTCAGTTTTCTTTTTGGCTGGAAAACTCTGAAGAGAAGAAAGGGGATTAACATTAAATGTTGTGGAGGCTGTTATGGGAACTTATAATTAATATTGCACCTCAATTATGCTAAACAGCTGTAAGAGGCTTTGCTGAGTTAAGGTTTTTAGTTTTGGGTCCAGCATCTCTGTAAAATTAGTTGCTTTTTGTTTTGTTTTGGGTTTCCATGCATTTTCTCAGACAAGAATATAGGTAAAACACAAATTGAACCTCATACGTGTCCGTCTATTTCTTGCTTCAGACCATATACAGGAACTATCAAAAGCTTACACTCCAAGAGAGCCCAGGAATTGTGCCTGCAGGTCGGCTTCCAAGATACAAGGAAGTGATACTGTTGAATGATCTAATTGATTGTGCTCGTCCAGGGGAAGAGATTGTAGGATCCTCATCCTGGTCTTGCTCATTTTTTCTTGTTACTTGTTTTAGTGAATTCGTACTAATACTCTGTTTTCCGTTCTATTTGATTTATTTCAGGAGGTCACTGGCATTTATTCAAATAATTTTGACTTATCTTTGAATACAAAGAATGGGTTTCCTGTATTTGCCACTGTGGTTGAAGCAAATTATATCACAAAGAAGCAAGACCTCTTTTCTGCTTACAAACTTACCCAGGAAGATAAAGATGAGATTGAAAAGTTGTCTAAAGACCCAAGAATAGGAGAAAGGGTTGCTACCAAACCCTTGTATCTTTCTCAACTAAGCATCTCGTGTATTATCATGAAATAACTAAATGTTCTATGAACGCAGATTGTCAAGTCCATTGCACCATCAATCTATGGCCACGAGGACATAAAGACTGCAATAGCTCTTGCCATGTTTGGAGGCCAAGAGAAAAATGTTGAGGGAAAACACCGACTCCGAGGGGATATAAATGTACTTCTACTAGGTGATCCTGGCACGGCAAAATCACAGTTTCTTAAGTAAGAGCTACTACCATCAGTTTAAAAGTGAATCAATTTCTTGGCTCTAAAGATCTAATTAATTTATCAATTGCTGTCCCACAAGGTATGTTGAAAAGACTGGGCAGAGAGCTGTGTATACTACTGGTAAAGGAGCATCTGCTGTGGGACTCACAGCTGCTGTGCACAAGGATCCTGTTACAAGGGAGTGGACCCTTGAAGGAGGAGCTCTTGTTCTTGCTGACAAGGGAATATGCCTTATTGATGAATTTGACAAAATGAATGATCAGGATAGGTATGACAATGCTAGTATATATGTAAATCTTCCAATTATGAAAACAGACACTCACCCTCGCCCCTTTCCAGCTTATTTTGAGCATTTGAGCATTTACATTTTCATCTCAAACAGGGTGAGTATTCATGAAGCAATGGAGCAACAAAGTATTAGCATATCAAAAGCTGGGATTGTCACTTCTCTCCAAGCACGCTGCTCTGTCATTGCAGCTGCAAACCCTGTTGGTGGAAGGTATGATAGAGGATAAATGACGAAGAGTAGCCAACTGGACATACTTTGTTGCATTTGTAAACCTGGCACTATCTTCTATTCTCCATTGAGCCATTCACTTGCATTTCCAGGAACAAATCTAACCTGTATGTCTTTATTCCAGATATGATTCCTCTAAGACATTTTCACAAAATGTCGAGTTAACAGACCCCATCATCTCTCGTTTTGACATCCTCTGTGTTGTTAAGGTTAGAATCCTACAAGCTCGTCTTCTTCTCCACATTTTTGTTTCCGTTCATTCTCACAGGGAAGGAAATTGATAACATGCAGGATGTGGTTGACCCCGTCACTGATGAAATGCTTGCAAGGTTTGTTGTTGATAGTCATTTCAAGTCGCAAGCCAAGGGAGCTAACATGGATAATATGCCCTTAAGCAATTCCGAAGAAGATACCTCCGACAGCCCAATGGATCCAGAGGTTTATACTTCATATCTACCTAGTTTATCCACTTGTACCTTCCTGGTTTGTCTGGAATTGAGTTTCTTTCTTTTTGAATCTCATAGAGTTTTTTGCCTAAACTTTCAGATACTTTCTCAAGATATGCTAAAGAAATACTTAACTTATGCCAAGTTAAATGTATTCCCAAGGTTGCATGACGCTGATCTGGAAAAGCTCACACTTGTTTATGCTGAACTGCGGAGAGAATCTTCAGTTAGTTTCTCTTCTTGTCTTTTTATTTGAAGGTTTGTGTTTTGGGTTGTCTTATAGGAAACTTACTCTTTCATTTTTTGTTTAGCATGGACAAGGAGTACCCATAGCTGTAAGGCACATAGAATCAATGATTCGAATGTCTGAAGCACATGCAAGAATGCACCTTAGACAGCATGTAATACAAGAAGATGTGGATATGGCAATTCGTGTATTACTAGATTCGTTTATCTCTACCCAAAAATTTGGGGTGCAGAAAGCTCTGCAAAAGGTATCAAAGAGTGACATCTTCCCTTAACATTTTCCCCCTACTTATGGTGTTCTGATATTCTTCCAAAGCTTCTAATATTTTGACAAAATGGCAAGTCTAGTTGCCACATTGAATGGTTTTGATTTTTGCTATTATTTCTCATAGCAATGGAACTTTACATTATAGTTGAAGAAAATAAGTTCTCATGAGAATCATCTGTAGCTGTAGGTCTTGGCTGAATACGGGCGCCCTTAATTTTTAAAGACTAGAACTATGTGTGTGCGTTTTCATGATCAAGCATCGCTAAACTCTACCTGATCTTGTTCCTACTCTGACATTATAATCTGATAATTTTCTTATGCTTGCCTGAATTAGAATGTATAGAAGATTACTTGGTAAAATATTTGAAGCTCTTTAGTGGTCGATTCCTGAAGAATTTGTTTTGTATTTGCAGAGCTTCAGAAAGTACATGACTTTCAAGAAGGATTACAACAATGTGCTCCTCCATTTACTCCGTCAGCTTGTGAAGGATGCAATTCACTTTGAAGAAATTGTTTCTGGCTCTAGTTCAGCGCTCACCCATATCGATGTCAGAGTTGGAGATTTGCAGAGAATGGTAATGCAAACATGAACGGCTGATATTGGAAATTTACTTGACTTGCATAAACAAAATAGGCAGTTAACCATCGAGCTTTTTGTGTTGGATTTATCTTGTGCAGGCACAGGAGCATGAGATATTTGATCTAAAACCCTTCTTTACGAGTGCCCTTTTTTCATCAGCCGGCTTTGTGTTGGATGAACAGCAGGGATTGATTAGGCATCACCTTCCAAGATAATGCAACAAAGTATCGATTTTGAATCGGTTGAAAGAGTTTTTCATGTTAGACGGAGACTGTATTAGTAACTATGAACCACATAATTTAGCAATTATAGATAGATTATGGACAATTTGCTTTGAATGCTGCTACCTAGTCTCATGTTCTTTACAAACATTCTGCCTAGTACTGCATTCCCGTCTACCCAATATGCATATGCTTTGCTTGGTAGAATTCGTCTGTCAGAACTTTGCTCACATATAACCTAGCTTATGGTGAAATTTCATATATTGCTTCATGTCATACAACATATGGCATTGATTAATATACGCATATAAAATACAGTGTTCGAAAGTCTGAGTAACCATTTTAAGCAGCCTTTTTTTCAACAGAATTTAAATAAAAAGCCCTTTTAAAATAGCCCCTCTTAAATAGAGTTCATGGATGACTTATTTAAACTCAAACAATTACTCACCCCTTCTAAATCCCAACTATTTTTTCTTTTTCCCAAATATTCTTTTTTCTTTTTTTGTTCTTTTGCTCAAAACAATTTTATAAAATTCTTATAATGCGCATTTTACCGTTAGAATTTGCTAAACATAGGGGTGGGCATCTAAAACCGAAATACCGAAATCGTACCCTAACCAAACCGTACCATACGGATTTCATACCATTTCATTTGGGATAGGGAGATATTTGGTACCGTACCGTACCAATAGAGTATGGTATGGTAGCGGTATCAAGTATTTGGTGCCGGTCAATACCGTACCGTACTGAATAGTATTGAAATATAATTTATTTATTTTCATTCTCTCGCTGTCTCTTACTTGCCTCTCAAACGCCAAAGCCAAACCCTCTCTCTCCTCCATAATTTTAACTATTTTGGTTTGTAAGCCATAAGGCATGAGTTTTAACCATTTGGATTTGATGAATCTGTTGATGGATAAATATTGATTTGGTTGATTTGGATTTTTAATATGTTGATGGATATTGAATATGTTGAATATTTGAATTTGTAATTTAGGCATCACTTTTTTTTTGGTGAATGAATATGTTGAATATTGAATTTGTTCATTTTTAGTTGTGTCATTTTGGTACCGATACCGATTAGGCACGGTACGGTACGATACCAATTTTGGCAAATGATAATCCCATACCGTACCATACCGATTTAAATTTCCTGTATCGGTAGCGGTACGGGCTCAATACCGTACCATACCGTACCGTGCCCACCCCTAGCTAAACATTACAACTATAAAATTCAAGTTTATTCCCTTCCTCACCCCACCCCACCTCCTCCTCCCCTTGTCAACCATGGCCAGAGGAGCAGGGAGAGGGAAAGGTGAGAACAAAAAGAAACGAGGGGCTTTGTTCTTATAAGTTTGGAAGCTGGGTTTGTTTAGTAATTTAATGGGTGTATAAGAGCATTTCCAATGGGGGGTTGTATAATGAGGTGTATGTTAAATATACACCATTTGTGATCGGAATGACTTGCAATGGGAAGGTGTAAACGATTGTAAATTTGCATCACAACCATGAAATGTAAATTTAGATGCACATGTACATCCCTTGTAAGTGGAGCCTACATGAGAAAAGGTGAACAAAAGTGAGCAAAATTAATTATACATCTTTAGATTTACATATTTTCCATTGGAGCAAAAACTACATTTACAATCCCCTGAAGTGTAAAGGAGATGTAAAAGTGATTTTACACCCCCGAAAATATACCCCCCACTGTGGATGCTCTAAAGAAGCTCCCATCAGCTAAAGTATAACCCTTTAAAATGTCTAAAATGACCCCAACAATACAATACACCGGCGACCTTGATTTAACGGTGAGACCGTGCAGCCACCTATCCATCTCTCTCCTATCTTCCACTTCTAGTATATATTATTCTTTTGTCTCTTTAATAGAAAAACAAGCCCCTTTCAAATCGACTGTTGCATTTGTGGTGGTTTATGCAAAATCGAAGGCGGGTTTAGGGTTAAGCCGATGGTCCTGATGGAAGGGAGGCGTAAGATCACTGAGCTTATGCTGCTGCTGCTACTGCTGCTGATTGGTTGCTCTGCTTCTCAGATCCAAGCTTCTTCTGAAAACGAACCCGATGCGGTACCCTATTATCTTTCCTTATTATAATTATTCATAATTTTTCAAAATTATTAAAATCTACCGCCTCCTATTCTTTATCCTTCAAGAATTTTGACAAACAGTTGATGATTGGCAGATCTTCTACGAGCCATTTTCTGAGTCATTTGAAGGTCGCTGGATCGTTTCTTCCAAGGATGAGTACAAAGGTCTTCCCTTGCACCATTTACTGTCTTCTTTTTTTCTTTGTTTATTATGTAACAATCTTACGTCGTTGAAGAAATAAATAGTTGGAACTTGTTCTTATGGTTTAAATGGTTTTCTGTGATGTGAACAAGAAACTTGTTCATATGGTAATTCAAGTCAGTTTGAACTCATATCAATCGATGCTACTGTGATTAATTGTTGTATGTTTTCGGCAACTTCCTCATGCATGTAGGCCACACTTGAGCACTCTCTGAATGTGTTGCTTTGGCAGTAAATTTTGTGTACTGATATGTTTATATAATTTAGGTGTGTGGAAACTGTCCAAGAGTGAGGGACATGATGATTATGGTCTTTTGGTCAGTGAGAAGGCGAGGAAGTATGCTGTAGTTAAAGACCTGGGTAAGGCTGTGAGCCTTAAGGATGGAACCATTGTCCTGCAGTTTGAGGTTAGGTTCCAGAATGGGCTTGAATGTGGCGGTGCTTACTTGAAATACCTCCGGCCCCAGGAGGCTGGATGGAAACCAGAGGAATTTGACAACGATTCTCCCTACTCCATTATGTTTGGACCTGACAAATGTGGCTCCACAAACAAGGTTCATTTCATCTTTAAGCACAAGAACCCCAAGAGTGGAGAGTATGTTGAGCACCATCTCAAGGAACCTCCATCTGTGCCCTCTGACAAACTCTCTCATGTCTACACTGCAATACTGAAACCTAACAACGAAGTTAGCATTTTAATAGATGGGGAGGAGAAGAAGAAGGCAAATTTCCTTTCAGCTAAATATTTCGAGCCTGCCTTAATTCCAGCCAAGACAATTCCTGACCCAGATGATAAGAAGCCAGAGGACTGGGATGAGCGGGCAAAGATTCCAGATCCACATGCTGTGAAGCCAGATGATTGGGATGAGGATGCACCAATGGAAATTGAAGATGATGATGCTGTAAAACCTGAAGGGTGGTTGGATGATGAGCCTGAAGAGATTGATGACCCTGAAGCTACAAAGCCAGAAGATTGGGACGATGAAGAGGATGGTGTATGGGAACCAACAAAAACAGATAACCCCAAGTGTTCGTTGGCACCTGGTTGTGGAGAATGGAAGAAGCCAATGAAGATGAATCCTGCTTATAAAGGAAAATGGAGCCTTCCTCTTATTGACAACCCCAGTTACAAGGGTATTTGGAAACCTCAAGAAATTCCAAACCCTAGCTACTTTGAGACTGAGAAGCCTGACTTTGAGGCCATCGCTGCTATTGGCATTGAGATCTGGACAATGCAGGATGGCATATTGTTTGACAATATTCTCATAGCTGATGATGAGAAGGCTGCTGAATCTTACAGGCTAACAACATGGAAGCCGAAGTTTGAAAATGAGAAAGAGAAACAGAAGGCTGAGGAAGAAGCTGCTGGTCTTTCAGACGGACTCTCAGGCTTCCAGGCAATCAACTTTTTACTTTATATTTGAGCTTCCTTCATTTCTATTGATTTTTGGTACTGCGTAATCTAACTAACAAACTTTATAAACTAATACTTGCAGAAGAAAATATTTGACCTTCTCTACAAAATAGTGGACGTTCCTTTCTTGGATGCATACAAACCCAAGATCATTGTAAGTCTTTGCCTTGTCATCGTTTTTTTTAATTGAGAGCTATTGCAGCATCTAACAGCCTTTGTCATTTCTCTGCTAGTGAGGTTGTAAATGGTGTTAACATTGTATGCTATTACAATTGAGCTTGTAGATGATGCTTAATTGAGCATGTTTATGCAATGTTCATGCAGGACCTAATTGAGAAGGGAGAAAAACAGCCGAATATTACAATTGGTATCATTGTATCCATCGTGGTTGTTCTTTTGACAGTTGTCTTTAAAATCCTTTTTGGTGGCCAAAAACCCAAGGTATGCTATTACACCCTGCATATGTTTGCATTTTTCTGTAATGGTTGTGACTTCTGATATTGCAGTAATTACATGATTGCCCTTGTAAACTCTTTTGTCCTGGACTTTGCAGGTCACTGTTCCTGAAACGGATAGGCCTGCAGCTGCAGAGACTTCCAACACTCAAGGAAGCAGTGAGGAGAAGGAAGATGAGAGTGAGAAGGAAGATGCTGCTGCTCCTCCCCGCAGGCGGCCTACCAGAAGGGAAACTTAAAGTAGTATGTGCTTGTTATGTATGCAAAATTTTGAGATAGAACCTAAATGGCTGGATCTGTTACTAGTTCGTTTCCAGAATTTTCTTTTCTACTTCTTATCAGAACACTTGCATGAGTATGGATTGGCTATACTCGCATTTTGCTGATCGTTATTTTACTTTTTCTAATGTGTTCTGTTGGAGGTAGATGTTGTTCCACTATATTACAGTTGTACCCCCAATTTAGCCCCCCTAGTCTTCGTTATAAGTTATGGAATGCTTTGTGTTTCTGATGTCTCATTTCTGCTATAGGTTGTCAACTTGTCATTATCAAATTCATGTTTTGGGACCATATAGCCTTCAAGAGCCCAGATGATAACAGCAACATATAGATAACTAAATCACCAAAAATCACCACATGAACAATAGCCATCCTTAAAATGGTGGAAACAATTTGGGTCCTTAAGTATGATTTCTCGTCCTACCATCTGGGATATAATTTTTGCGTAATCATGGCAGTTGCGGCACACCCGCAGATTCTTTGTTATGCGTATTGTCGATCCGGCTTGCATACTGATGAGACCAAAAGAAATGGCCAACATTTCACTGTGCCCAATTGGAATGCACTCACGCTCTTCATCCACATCATGGAAGCTAAAATCCGAATCATGCCTATGTCCTTCATCTTCCATTTTCTGCTTCAAACACTGCAACTCCCAGTATATTCCCTGTGATCTTGGGTGAGAAACATCCCCCGTCCCAAACACATGAACTTTGTTTCTCAATTCCATCCAAGTATAAGCTCTCTTAGTTTTCAAACCCATATCTGTAATCGTTCCTCTTAGTTCCTCCACCATGTCCCATTTTGCATAGTGAGCATACCAGTTGGAGAGTAAGACATAATTATCAGCATTAAGAGGCTCCAAATCACAGAGCTGCTCAATGACCCGCTTGCCCAATTTCGATTGCTGGTGAATCCTACAGCCATCTAGCAGTGCTCGCAGCACCTCGGCATCTCCTTCAATCCTTTTGTCAGCAATGAAGTTCTTTGCGTCGTCAAACAACCCATAACGAGATAGAAGAGTTACCAACAAAACAGAGTGTGCAACTGCAGGCGTCTTGATGCAGTTGAAGTAAAACTTCCCTTCCTCAACCATGAGCGCAGCAACACAAGCACGAAGGGCAGCAGCATACGTGATTTCATCTTTCTGTATGCTTGACTCCTTCTCCATTTGGCAGAACAAATCGACTCCGAGCTGACCTTGTCCATGTAAGCTGTACCCCAATATCATCACGGTCCATGAAACAACATCTCTGTGCTTCAACCCGGCAAAAATTTTCGAAGCAGATTCGATAAATCCTGACTTGACATACATGTCCATCAGAGCATTCAAGACAGTGAGATTCATACGGATACCATTTCGAATCAAGTATCCATGAATTTCTTTTCCTTGTTTACTTGCAGACATTCTTGCACATGCTGGGAGAACGCTAGATACTGAGAGAGAATCCGGCTTCACTCCATCCGCAATCATCTGTCTAAACAATTTAAGACCCTCATTGAAGCCTCCCCTCTTCACATTGGCATGAATCATTCCTGTCCAGGAAATGACATCTTTCGAAGGCATTTGATCGAAAACTGACCGAGCATCATCAACACAGCCACAATCCATGTACATTTTCAAGAGGGTATTGCTCACCAACACATCAAACTCCAATCCACGTTCCTTGGCAACGCGGTGGACCTTTCTCCCATCAATCACCGATTTTAACACGCCACAGGCACCAGCAGCCGTTGCCAGCGCCACAGGATCTATTTGAGCTCCAGATTCAACCATTCCATCAAACACATGAAGCGCCATGCTGGGCTTACCTTCCATGATGTACAGCCTGGCCAGCATAGTCCAAGAAACAGAGTCCTTAATAGGGGACTTGTCGAAGAGCACTTTTGCGGCGTCAAAGCTGTGGAGACGGCCGTACAGTTCGATGAGAGCAGCAACCACGTAACGGTCATCGGAGCAGCCCAGCTTGAGAGCGTGGCCATGGAGCTGTTTGCCGAGAGGGAGATCAGCGGAAAGGCGGGAGGCGGATAAGATCCGGGGGAGAGTGTGTCTATCGGGAAGAACACCGCGGAGCAGCATTTGGTGGTATGTGGAGAGGGCGTTGTCGAAATGGGCATTGGCGATATGGGTTTGGATAAGCTTGTTCCATGCAAAGGTGTCTGAGTGGGGCATTTTTCCGAGCAGCTTGCGGGTCATAGGTACCCTTGTACTGGTCTTGGAATTTCGGGGATGCTTGTACTGGTCAGTGTCGATTGGTTTCTCGGTGACGATCAAACGCTGAATTTGAGCTGATGCAAGGACTTCCATGGCGATGATTGAATCAAACCCAATTCCGCATTGCCCGTTGGGAACTTGGAGAGCCCTGGTGTTGTTGTTGGTGGGAATATACACTGATTACTACGATGTTATCGAGGGACAAGTTTCTTTTTCTGGAGATAGGCTTCAGTTGAAGTTCAGTTGAAGAACGACGACATGTCGTGCTCGTTATCAGGATTCTTCTCTCAATAGAGTAACGACACCTTTGGTAGAAGCGCTCACCTATTAACGAAAAAAGGTTTTGACCCAAAAGTAATAATAATAATAACGAAAAAAATTGTGAATGCTTTCTTTCGTTGAATCCAATCCAACGGCAACCAATTTTTCTAATGCTTTTTGTCTTAATTGCAATATATGGATTAAATTCAAACATCGTTTTTGGAAGAGTCTTGTCTTTGGGTGTGGCTGCCTAACACTCACAGTGTCACACACACACGGCCGGATCTAAGTGAAGCTCGATTTAGAGGGTCTTACTTTCATGTGATTGTGCTGTCGCATAAGGTAGTCACACTCAAGACTTACTCATGTCGTAGATTAAACGCCTACAAGCATTTATGTTAGCCGCTAATGTGGGAAATTTGTTTTAGCTAAACATGATTCAATGTTTAAGCATGCTAGCTAAGAAGATGAAATGGAATTAAAAAAACATGATTCAAATGTTGATTTAGCAAACCCAATACCACCCTATACAATCTTTTAACCAAAGCTACTCTGCCTATAATACCATGTTTCAAAACATTGAACGCAATACAGTCTTCCAAGTAAACCGGCATTAAATTATAGCCGCGGGAATCCCACGGGGCTCTAGAAAAACGAAGAAAAGAGGGACGCAAAAATTCACCACCAGTCAAAAATTTTGAATGAGTAGAGTAGAAAGAGGCCAAAAGGGACTGTAGGGTCCACTTGGGCATTTGATATATAAAGCAACAGGAACCAGCCCAACTTTGACCAAAAATTTCATGCTCTGTTTAAAGACTTGGAATTGGGCGATGGGTATTGGCACGGCTGAGCTGGTAGCTACTGTTGCTGGGGCCTACTCGTGGGGTCAGCTGAGAATGAGAGTACACGTGCAAGTCAAGGATTGGTGTACAAATTAATTCATTCTCATTCACGTAACGCAATTGTAGATAATGGGAGTTTGCAGAAATGTGTAGATTGAAAGCTAGCTGACCCTTTTGACTGTTATTTTGTCCATTTCACCCCATCGTCTCTCAAATCAAAATCCACAGCACGTTATGAGTGGCACTGCTAGTTCGTCATCTATCTAAGCCAGAGTCCAGACAGTCCAACTATGCCAAACCCAGCCACGCATCTGGCCTCTCTACCCTACCTACCAATAACACCACCACATTCCACTCTGGACATTTGCAGAAAACCAGCTATGTTTCTCTGACATACAAGTGATATTAGAGGAGGGGATTCGAACACAAGACATGCGATATAAAGATCACTGTTCTTAATCACTTGAGTTACGAGTCTCTTGTTAGTTAGGTTGATTTTTTTACATGTACACAATCAGATTCGCATCGAGCACTTGAAATCTGGATGGTTATAGATAAGGGAAATTCACTGTTATGGGAAATTCACTGTTATACCCAATATAGGGAATTAATAAATTAACATGGCAGAAGAACCCAAGAATTTAATATTGATAGCTTTAGCAAAAATGATGGTGATCATTAGGCAAAAAGTGCGATGAGAAAGAGAATAATTTGTATTGAAAAAGAGCATGAAAACAGTCATGTATTTACATAGCTGTGTGATGTGAGAAATCAGTATGAACTGCAGAACATATATTCACTTCAAATCGATCAAAATCTAAACAGAGGACCCTCCTACTTCTTAACTCCTAACTAATTAACAATCCATAGATCATCATTTCCTTGATGGTTTGATCTTGATCTTGGCTTTGGAAGTAGCAGTACTAGAACTCTTTTGGTTCTGGGACGCCTTTAATGAGTTGGGTTGAGATTTCTTCTTGGAAGATCTTCTCATCCCAAACGAAGACAGCCTTCTGCTCTTCTCCCTCGTCTCTCTGATGGGCTCAAGCCTCGGCTTCCATTGCCGCGACCCAACAAGCTGCGTGTAGTCTTTCTGCAACTGAGCCGTGGTGCAAACCCTGCTCTTGGCTTCTGCAAAATTATTTGCCTCATCGTTCTTATTCGCTGCTTCCTCGTTGAGCTTCCCTTCCTCCAACATCTGGGATATAAACTCGTCGGAAACGCGTATCCTCAAGCACCCAGATGGCGTTTTCTGAATATCAAACGGCTCGCAATTCGCAGCCTTCCTTAGAAATGCGGTTTTCGACGAGTCTTTTGTATTGAACGAAGCAATGGTCACAAAAGAAAGCACCGACTGGAACAAGTGTTGGGGAAGAAGAAAATACTTGTGGCCGAGCTGGAGCTGGTCGTCTTCAGAAAGAGCCGGGATCTTCTGTCCGATATAGAACGAATCGGACCGGCACACAAGGTGTTTCGGAAACTCCATCATGAGCTCGGAGACGTAGATTGGGCTGTGGTAGATCAAAACGAGGCCGTCGGATTTGACGAGCTTGATGGTACCCACAACCTGGCGCTGTTGATCGGTGTGATGAAGCCGCACGCGAGAGAGATGGTGGTTGCCCATCAACTGGAAACACCATGGGATCATCTGGAGAGTGAAGAATCGCAACCTCATTTGTCAATGTGTGAAATTAAGAGAGGTATAATCGGGTGTGAACTTTCAGCATATATATGAAGGGCAGAAAGATGATTGATGATAAGGTGTGTTGACACCATAACTGACCAAGCAACTAGAAGACTAGAAGGAACTCTAAGCAAAGCAAGAGGAGTCCCACATCGGAAAACAACAAGAAGTGAAGGCTCCCTCTCACCTATAAAAGCATACCACTCTCCACTTAAGAGAGGATCCGAAAA